ATGGCCCCAGTTAAAGTTTATGGCAAATATTCAGGCTATGATTGGTTCATCAATTCCTCGGATATACATGTCTGTGTATGGACCTGTAGGTTCTGACTTCAATCATATTTCAGCAAGTGTGCCGAATCAAAATCCTCCGGGAATGGAGCATTCAATATTTAACCAGTAAAGGGGTTGTTATTGTATTGCCCCTACTGTACTTCCTCTTGTAAGCACTGGGTTCCACACGTCCCTTGACGGGTTGGACATCTTGGTTAAGACATGTACCATCCTTGTTTCTCTGCATATTTGCTCCTGTTGGAGCATTCTGGACCAGAGGTTGCGTGTTTGTATTCTGGTGGTTCATTACATGGCCTCCCGGGTTTGGGCCTACAGTAGTCCCAAGATTTGGTCTCCCTTGGATCTCAGCCTCTGCAATCCGAGCTTGGCCATCCGGGTTGTGATTCCCATCGCGGCCTTGGACCCCTTCTGATCCAGGTCCTCTCATCCCCAACAATCGTTGCTCCAGATCTTGTATTCTCTTCACGTTTATCTCCTGAATTCTCCTGAAATCCTCTTGTCGTTGGAGGTTGTTACGATTTTCCATATCTTTCATACGGCGCAGAATTGCAACAAACGTGTTTTGAGCAAGGCGGGAATCAGGATCTGCAGCCTGTGCAATACGAGCAACAATGTCCACAGGGTTTTGAGGAGGAGGGTTGTTCGAAGCTGGATCTGTAACTCAGTTGTGGGGGGCTGGCGTAAAGGCTGTGTCTGATACATCCTTGCTGATATGGACCGCATCATAGTCTACTTCGTTTTCCGGTTGGTGGTGAGGTTGATTCACCTCTTCCAGAATGGGATCAAACGGCTGATTTGGAGGCTGTGGCTGCTGGCTATTGCTCCTTGTACGGACTGCTATCTCTAATTAGAATCGTGGAAATATCAAATTCTTTCACTTCCCCACAGAGGGCGCCAGTGTTTTGTCTTGAAGACAGAGATGTCTAGCCCAATGGACTAGTGCATTGATCTTGGATCTAGTGCCCTCTCCAAGGTATCTATGGAGAACATACCCTTGAGTCAAGCAGATCACTGTGCACAATAGAACAATAACGACTTTGCCAAAGGGGGGTGTGTGCGCGCACAGTGATAACATAACAGTAAGAGAGAGCGTAACATACCTGTAGGTTTTACCTCTTATTTATATGGTTTACCTGTGGGTAGTAGACTATGGACCTTTAGCCTCTTCCGACGATGGCCCAAGCCCATCCGTCATGATGTCGTATTAGGATTGGTATCCTTGATGGACATCTTTCCATAATTATGCTTGATTTGAATTCTAAATTGCCACTTGTTGGGCCTGTCATTCATTGGGCCCTTATATGGGTCTATAACAATATATATATATATATATATATATATATATATATATATATATATATATATATAACCATCTTGAATAATTATGTCCAACAGCATCCTAAATTTATTTTTATCACAAATATTACTAAAATTAAATAAAAAATAATATATAACACCAAAAAAATAGAGTGCATCTATAGAAGGTATGATTTTGTTTCATGGAGAGTAATCATATTATTATTTCATCTTCAAGCGTCGGATATACCAGTTCATCAAATAACTTTTCAAGCAGTAGGTTGGTATTTTAGCATGTCTACACGCCCTAGATGATCCTAGCTATTAATAGAGACTAGAGTTATGAATTGGTGTATCTTGATATTGACAAATTGTTTTCATTTGCAGGAAAATATCAGAAAACAACAAATGATTTCACTTGAATGTGCTAGCCAGGTAGTAAGGCTGTGCTCTCTTTGTCTCTCTCTCATCATCTCCTTACATTTTCTCTAGGATAAAGCTTATTTGGATATTGGTGGGTTGCTATTGTGCATTTTTTGTTCTCAATTTTGCTTAGCTTTCTATTCTAACAAAAGTTCAGTTTCATTATTTCCACGAAAGCTTACCTCTTTGTAACCGGCTATTAGCTATGCATTCTAAATAATATAAATTCCATTATGCTAATAATTTATCACTTTTTTCTTCTCCAGAACTGATGTGTAAGAATAGCCTTGTAATCCAAGTAATGACAAGATTTTCTAACATACAGTGATAATCCCAATAGACATGCTGAATACTACTTGATGTCATTAGATTCCATACCTATTTAATGTGACCTAATATTTATGTCAGATTATGAATTTAATTTTCATTTTCTGTGAGATATTCCTAAGTATAATTTCAAAATGGGAATTCTTCTATATGAAATGTTAAGCTTGTTATTGAAGACAGTAGGTGATATTAAATCACTAAGAGATTTGAACCCATATAAAGAACAGAATGGAGTAGATGATCAGAATTATCATTGTGTAATAATAGAAAAATTAGAACAGACTTACTTGTCATATAGTTGAGACAAAATGATGAAAATATGTAGAATCAGTGGAATAAACTCCGAGCCCACAGAACGTGTCTCCTTAAGACAATTTGCCCCCTCACTGATGCCAAAGGTTGATGGACACTTGTCTCCAAGGATAGAACAGATTTCGTCTGAAGAGTGGCGGCACAACCAGTCAACAACCCAAACGAACACAACAAAATGCCAGAGGAAATCACACCAGAGTATGAAAAGGAATATGCAAACCGAAAGGAGAGAAAAAATTCCGGCAGAGTTTCAGTGCAGGAAAAAAAATTGGATCCATTTTCTAAAGGTGTCAGTGTCTATTTATAGACAACGTAAGGTCACGTTTCAAAAGGCACCTATTCGACGACGAAACAACACATCCGCTGGACACGAAAAGACACATTCGTTCAACACGAAAAGAAACCCATTCAAGGATGAAATAACATGTCCGTTAGGATGAAACAATATGTCCGTTAGGATGAAACAACACATCCTTTAGGATGAAAAGATACATTTGTTTGTCGACGAAAAGACACACATTTTCACTACCAAACTTCTTAATCCGTTCCTTTAATAAACTAAGATTAGTTTCACTGGCCTTATCACGTCTTTAGGAGCTTATCTTTCATATACACTAGAACATAATGTATATTCAAACTTTTGAATTTCTCAAGAACCTTGGCTATATAGTGAGCCTGTGATAAGGCCAACCCTGAAGATGTTCTATGGATTTTAATACCTAGGATAACGTTTGCTATCCCCATATCTTTCATATCAAACTTACTTTTAAGTAATTCTTTAGGAGCTTGCTTCCAATATCATGTCGTTAATAGTAGTGCTTATATGTTTCTAGTTTGTAAATTTGATGTTTTAGAAATACACGTTAATACGGTTATTGAGTCAAGGGAAGTTACTTTCTTTGAAGACGTATTTTCGTATAAGAAAATACATGAATCAAGTGGTAATAATGATGATCAGGTTGTGATACCTCGGGATGCTACAACTAATATTGATCCTGTAGAGGAGGTAGAAGATGAACTAGACGTAGCAAGAGGCAAAGGACCGCCACATCCTTTGGACTTGATTTTATGACATATTTATTAGAAAATGAGCCTCGGACGTATAAAGAAGCTATAACGTCCCCGGAAGGACCATTATGGGAAGAGGCTATCAATAGTGAGATAGAGTCTATCTTGTCCAACCACACTTGGGAATTGGTAAATCTTCCTTCTGGCAACAAGCCTTTAGGAAGTAAGTGGGTGTTCAAAAGAAAAATGAAAAAGAATGGGCACTATTGATAAATATAAAGCTAGGCTTGTGGTAAAAGGCTACAGGCAACGTGAAGGTCTCAATTATTTCGATACTTATTCACCAGTTACAAGGATAACATCCATTAGGATGTTGATCGCGGTAGCTGCATTGAGTGGATTAGAAGTACATCAAATGGATGTCAAGACCGTCTTCTTAAATGGTGACTTGGAAGAAGAGATATATTTAGAACAACCTGAAGGTTTTAAAGACAATGGGTGATATTATATCACTAATAGATTTGAACCTATGATCAGTATATTCTGTTTTATTATATATAATGTTTCTGCTTTTATTTACTGTGTGATTAATCTGTGTGATTAATTAATCCGTGTGATTAATTTCGAATTCTGTTTGTGTAACAGAAATGGCTAGTGTAAGTGCAAACGCTGCCAATCTTACTGCCTCTGTTCCAATGCATGCTGATAAGCCTGAAAAATTGAATGGAACAAATTTCAAACGCTGGCAACAACAGATGTTGTTCTATTTGACAACTCTGAGTCTGGATCGTTTCCTCAAGGAAGATGCTCCTAAACTGAATGAAGGAGAAGAATCCGACAAGGAAAAGGTTGCTGCCATTGATACTTTTAAGCATTCTGACTTCCTTTGTAGGAACTATATTCTCAATGCTCTGGACAACACATTGTATAATGTGTACTGTACCCTGAAGACTAGTAAAGAACTTTGGGATAGTCTGGACAATAAGTATAAAACTGAGGATATTGCCTTGAAGAAATTCATAGTTGGCAGATTCATGGACTTCAAGATGCAAGACTCCAAATCTGTTGTGAGTCAAGTTGAAGAACTTCAAGTGATTATGCATGAAATTCATGCAGATGGAATGTCTCTTAGTGAGTCTTTCCAAGTTGTTGCTTTCATAGAAAAATTACCGAATTCTCGGAGAGACTTCAAGAATTATCTGAAGCATAAGCGCAAGGAATTGTCACTTGAAGATCTGGTTACAAGATTGAGAATAGAAGAAGACAATAAGATGTCTGACAAGAGGAATGGCAACAATCCTATGATCTCTAAGGCTAATGTAGTTGAAGAGGGATCAAAGTCGAAAAAGAAGAAATATTCTGAAGATGGAAATGCTAAGCAAGGAAAGGGCAAAAAGTTCAAAGGCAACTGTTATAATTGTGGGAATCCTGGCCACCGTGCAAAGGATTGTAAGAAGGAACAAAAGAAAGATCAGAGGAAACCACAAAAGTTCAATAAGAAAAAAGAGAGCACTCAAGCCAATATGGTTGACATTGCTGATTAGGTTAAAGAACTGAATCTGGCAGCAGTGGTGATGGAGTGCAATCTGATGGGAGACTCTAAGGAATGGTGGGTGGACACTGGTGCCACCAGACATGTCTGTTCAAACAAGGGGATGTTCTCCTCCTATACTCCCACTGATAATGATGAGAAACTTTATATGGGTAACTCATCTACTTCAAAAGTTGAAGGTGTGGGCAAAGTGGCTTTGAAGATGACATATGGCAAGATGGTGACACTAAATGATGTGCTCCATGTGCCTGATATTCGCAAGAACCTAGTTTCTGGATCTCTGTTAAGCAAGAATGGCTTTAAACTTGTATTTGTTTCTGATAAGTTTGTAATTACTAAGAATGATGTGTATGTTGGAAAGGGCTACCTTAGTGAGGGCTGTAAGAACCGACACCGTTAATTAAGGAAATTAATTAAATAAATGTGAGAATTAGGAAATAATTTTATAATTGACCCTAATAATTATTATTAGGCTTAAATAATTATAGTAAGTGAGTAATAATACTGGAAGTCGCTTTTCTGACGAAAAGTGCAGATACCGATTCTGCTACTCGGTATAAATGCGCACCGACGAAGTATCCTGGAAAATTATAATAAGTGCATGAATATTCTTAGAATAATATGTAGGACTTGTAAAACAAGTTTCAAGTAAAAATAATGAGAACTGGTGCCAGAACTGATACTGGCTATGGAAAAGCGCGTACCGAAAAGGTTCAGAATCCTAAGTTTGGGATTAAATTTCTAAGCGTAGCAATTAGCGCTAATACAGTGCGATTAACACTTAAGTGACCATATATACCTAGTGGCACATGATCCTAGGTCATTTTGTGCACCTCTACGTAGCATTTTCTGGAGCCTTTGAAGTCAGCCACCCCTGCCACCTTCCTCTCCATCTTTGTGAGCCAAAGAGCCACCTTTCTTCATGAAACCTTTACCTAAACACCATTGTTGAGTGAGCTTTGGTCTTGTGAGTGTGAAAAGTGCTCCTTTTCTGAGTTGTGAGCACTGTCTTGCGAGGGTTTTGGGGCTGAGTTCCTTTGCTTGGGTTGTGGAATCCTTTTTTTTGGTGGTTGGTACTCCAAGAAGCAATCTTTGTGAAGAAAAGACCTTGCTTGCTTGGTATTTTCGTGCCTTTGTGAAGTCAGAACTGTAGAGGATGATTGGTGAGCTCTAAGAGCCATTGTTGCTCTGTTTTGAGCTTGGGTAAGTGTCACTTACCTTGATCATGAGTTTTAATGGTTAAAAATGGAACCTTGATGCATGTAATGGATTAAAGTTGATAACTTAAGGTTGGGTAAGGTTAAACACACCTAGAAATGCATGTTTAAGCTTATGAAATCGTGAAATGAACCACCTTTGGGAAGGATATCTCGCGAAATGCAGAACTGCATTCTATCGCGAAATATCCGGATATGATATCCGGATATTGATATCTGGATATGGTGTCTTGAGAAATTCGAATATGGATATCCGGATATGGATATCCGGTTATGATATCCGGATATGATATCCGGATATGATATCCGGATATGGGATATCCGGATATGGCCCCGACACATATCCGGATATTATGGGTTTGCGTGAACAGTAACGGTACTGTTCATACAGAACTGAGTTATGGGTTTGTGGACCCTAGATTGATGCAGTGGGACTTCTGTAATGATGAAGTGAAGTCAAAATCTAAGTGATTAAGACTTGTGGCTGAAAGTCAAAATTGGCTGCACAAAGGTCCCACCTTGATGCGCCTACTTGAGGGTAAAAACAAAATAAATGGTCTTTGATGCGGAAGCATAGACAATCTATGCGCCTCATGTTTTAGGATCTGCCCGTTAAACATGTAGGGTTTAAAATTCATACCTTTTCACTTGAAGGTGTCAAAATGGATGACTCCCTTTAACAGTAATCCACACGGCTACCTCTTGGTTGCTTCTGAGAAACGCTTTCTCCCTGAACCCTCCCTTTCCTTGGAAGCTCGCTAGGCTGCGGCAAGGTGGAGGCTTTAAAGTGTTTTTGTTTATTTTTCTCAAGACTGTAATGTTGTCTTGAGGTTAGGTGAGAGGACCAATAATGGAGGAAGAGAGATGAAGAGAAAAAGGGGTGGCCAAAATTAGGATTTTAGTCCAGAGAGGCGCTGTATATCTTGATCTGAAGAAAAAGACGTTACTTTAACGTGGTTCAGCAAATCTCTTAATCAGCATTAAGAGATGGACGTTACATTAACGTTTCCTCATCAAATCCCTTAATCAGCATTAAGAAATGGACGTTACATTAACGTTTCCTCATCAAATCCCTTAATCAGCATTAAGAGACCGACGTTACATTAAATATAATTTTATTTAAATTCATAATTCAAATAAAATAGAAATAATAAATCTCTATCTAATCATATTAGATACAGATAAGGATAATTCAAAACTATCCTTAATTACCTAACCTCTTGAATTTAAATAAAATTAAATTCGATTTTATCCTAGCCCGCAATTTAAATTTGAATTCAAATTCAAAATTCGAAAATTCAAAATTCAAATTCAAATTTCGAATTGCGCCAAAAACTTATTTTGGCCAAGTCAAATATTTGACTTGCTAGGATTCATGGCCCAATACCGTATTGGGCCTACTAACACATTTGGGCTTATTAATAGAAAAATTAATCTTTCACTAATAGTCCAAAGGCGCATGATGATATTGGACTTGGAGTTCAACTCCAACCCAATTACACCTATAGTCTTGAAAAATCCAATAACACTTATTGGTCCAAACTTGCTAAATGTAAGCAATCAAGAATTACCTTAGTGTGTGACCCATTAGGCTCAATTAGTCACTGACATAAATAAACTTGAACCAATTAAACTCTTTTAACAGGCCCAATTTATCTAATGACCACATAAGACACTAGCAATGCTCTGCAGCCCCAAAACTAATTGAGTTGATCAAGTGATCTACCTTTCTAATTTGGATACCGTGCCGGCATCATCCCTCACAACGTCATTCACATTTAGTCGAGAGCAATGATAGAGTATCATCTCTCTTTATTGACTAAATGTAATATTTCACAGGAACTAGAAATCTTCTTCCATTGACTCTAAGATAGATCATGACTCTTCATGATCTCTTACTATGCATAGATTCCCGAATCAACTAGAAGTCATCCAAGCCCTACCGGTCTTGTGAACGACTAATCCCTTATAGGGGATTGTGAAGTCCTTTCGGCATGTTCATCTATACTCATGTATTCGAGTCATACCCAAGAGTACACTATTCTCCCCATTTTTCAGGCGGATAAAGTTGTACAGTCAAAGTATAACTCTAGGACATAGTATTCGATGACATCCTTAAGTCTAGGATGATCTGCACTACCAAACGATGAGAGACTTTACAAATCCAATGATACTCTCTATAATGAATCCTTGTGGAGTCTCTCGGTGGGTCAGTTCAGTGCTATCTGTTCTCTAACAGATCCACCCACGACATCACCTAAAGCATCACCTAAAGCATCACCATGCCTGCATTCCATGAGGTTCCTACCTCGTATCTTTATACAAGTAAATGACATCGTACTAGTCTTATTGAGATCACCAATACCCTTTCTTGGTGATTCAAGACCAGGAACAGATTTTAGATAATAGACATACAGTGTCCTCGAGTCCTCATGATCATGATCCCTATCATAGATCCCCGAGTGAACACCTGTTCTATTCATAGGGTCTTTATCTTTATTCACATATTAACAATAAAATATTGGCGAGACATAAATATGATAAAGATAAAGTTTGCTCAAATTTATAAATCATGAAATACCACTTCGAAAAAGGTGTTCATCTGATAAAACAGATTGTCTCTTGGACACCTATATACTAACAGTGGCTTTGCGAGAAGCCTTAAGACATGAAACGTAAAAGAGAAGCGTTGTCTTATGTTATATGCTTATGAGCTATGGTTGTTGATATGATTGCAGGTCCAAATCAGATTGTGATTCTGCTGTGTTTGGACGTTGAGCTTGTGTGGACTCTTTGCTTGGATAGTTAGCTTGCAAGGTAAGCTTTCGTGTCCTCGGCTTAGCCATTGTTTGTTCCACCAAGTCCCATGAAGGGATGGTTATATGCATGATGTGTTTTCATGTATTGTTTTATTAAAATTCTATGGAGCTGTTAAGTGCAAAATGCTTATGATATGTATGTGGTGTTTCGCCTAGCCAGGAAGCCATGGGGTTGTCCTGGGGCAGGGGGTACAGCATGGGCTGGTACTGTGTGGGTAATAGACGTATTCCTGCACTTCTCTGATCAGTAGAATAGTTATAACACACATGACGTGATTATCGGCTGCATTGCACTGTTTTAGAACTTATTCTGTTTAAATGCTTTTGGAACTTATATTGCACATGTAAGTGAGCTTGGGGTGGAAGATCCTTGAGGACCCCTTGCCTTACTGAGATTTCTTGTTTAGAGATCTCACCCAACGTTTGGGGACACTTATTTCAGTTTCAGGTAATTTGGGGGCTGATGCATCTGGCTACAGGAGGCCGGAGCTTAGGTGATTATATATGCCGTATGCTGACATGACTGAAAGATAGAGCCTTGAAGGTCGTAGGCATATGAGGATGAAAACAAAATTTTTTCAAGTGGAAACACACGTACCAATCAAGATACATACTCTAGGACAGAGAGATACCTTGTTCGTAACTCAAAACTCGAAGGTGATCAGTGTTAGGCTTGAAGGTTCAAACCCTCTAATGTTGATCCACACCACCCTTTGTCAAGACGCAAGAACTCTTCTTGAAAAGCCACCAATTCTAACACCACAAGGAGCAAGCTAGGCGTCCCTTGTGAAGAGGTAGGAAGCTCGGTTTTATTATGTTTAGAAGAGAGAATTTCAGGCATAAAACTCACACAAAGTAGCGCATAAATTGTAGAAGAGAATGGCCTTTTTATTTTTTAAAAACCCTAAGGAGAATATCACAAAAAGGAAAACACTTAAGGAGATGAAAGAGGAATAAATTTGAATCAGATTTTTTCACCAAAAATTTGATCATGGAGCGCCCCTTTTGTGGAGGAAAGAGTGGAGTTGTTGTAAATCAAATCTAGTCAACAAACTCCTATCCTATCCTCTTAAAACTAAGTCTGCACCTAGTCAATATTTTGACCCAATAACCATTATATGATCAGCCATATTGTGCGCCCCAATCAGCCCAAAATCATTCCAAAAATATTGATTAGTTGCAATTCAAATTGAATCAACTAAATCAAATATTTCCACAACCAACCAAATCTGAATGGAGTTTGATTTGTTGATTGAATGACCATCATTAAGCCACCAAATCAGCGCCCCAATCATCTTTGATGATGTCTGAT